CCTTTAATTTGGTGGTCTTTTTACCTCATTACCAGAATATCATCTCCAGCTATTGATTTTGTTTTATAAAACCCCTTACTGAGCATTTCCAGGCGTAATTTTCCACCGACAAGGCAAGCTGATCATTTGCTGTCCCACCTGTTGCCTGATACCTCAGAGACAGCCAGAAGAAATCAGGTTTGCTGCCCCTATATGTTTGTGTCCTTCACCACATGCAGTTTCTAGGTACCCCCGGTACTTGTCTACATCTCCAGTTATGTAATAGCTTAGCAGATTTTTGCTCACAGATCTCCTGGCAATTCTGACTCGCTGATCACCCATTAGAAACCTCCTGACCTCTAGGTTGGGTACTGCTCCTTTCTTGGAGCAATGCAGACCACTTCCCCCATGTACTGCAATTTGTCATGTGTGGTGGTTCTCACCTAGTGTGATGATACTGATCTTCATCTCAGAATTTCTTCCCATTGCTTCTTCTTCTGTTTGGAATCTCCAAACACCTAGCCTTGGTACCTGCAGGTCTTCATTTGACCTTGTATGCCATCTTCCTAAAATCTTGGCTCTTGCACATCCTATTCCCTCTCGTTGCAAAAAGTTGCTGTCCTTGTTACTCAAGGTGACCTTCTGTGTCCCTCTGCTGCATTCTTCAGGTCCTGTTGCTAGTGCTGACCTCCATTGTACAAATGGAACCTTCTTTCTCTTACACTGGCAGCTGAGATTCTGCCTTGGCTTGCCCTAGTTTCTTCTTTGGAGCCCCCTCCTTTCCTTACCCTTACATGGGGACCAGGTGTCCTGGAAACTGTACTTCCCTGGAGCACTTTTTCTTCCCTTCTGTGGGATTGTTATTTTACAATTTCTTGTCCAGCCTGAAAACATGTCAAAATTTTACGATTTGGTGTCAGGACTGTCATCTTTCCTTGGGAACTGACCCCTTTTCTCACTGGGCGGTCCCTCTATGGGATTCTTCAATCCTCTTACACCCAGTCCTTCTTCTTTTTTTTTCTCTCTAGGACTTCTGGTATCAGGGAACGATTCCCTACCTGAGCCTATTTCTCCAGCGAAGTCTGGGTTCTTGGGCTTTTTACAGCATCTAACATCTGTTTTTTTCACAAGTTGCTGGACCACTGCCTGACCCTCTGTTCATATTTTTCTTGTTTGCCAGGTGGCTGTTTGAGCCTCTGCTCTTATGTATCTTGGCTGAAAGATGCTTCTACTCGTAACTGTTTGTTCAGGTCTGTTGACCCTTCTTGTTTTTTTCCTGTGGGCATTGTGCTGCTGTTTTGGCTGTTTTCTTTGCTCAACCCCTACAGTTCACATGTCCTATACTATACGATTAAGACAATAGGAATTTTGACATACCTATAAATATCTTGGAGTACAGTACAGGACACGGGGCTTTCTCCTCTGTTCTCTGATGTCCTTGTTGCTTGCTTAAAAAAGAAATTAAATAAAATCTGGAGCCTCTTGAAGTTGGCAGGATTAAATGGATACACTGGGGGCTGTCGCAATGAACTTTGTCAGTTTTCAATCAGCCAATCACCTGAAGGCATATAATACATTTTCTAAGATTTAATTCCTGTATCCTGTACTGTACTCTAAGATATGTATGTGTGTGTATGTATGTATGTATGTATGTGTATATATATATATATATATATATATATATATATATATATATATATATATATAATATATATAAAAAAATATAGGTGTATTTAGGTTTTGTGCTGCCCTAGGCAACACAAAAATCGTCTGTCCCCATGGACACCGACCAACACCAACTCCCTTCCCCCTCCCACGGAGAAAGTCTGACATTGCTAACCTTGACCAACAACAGCCCTGCACCCCACCCGAGAGAGCCTTCCATTACCCCCCCCCCCTTCTCCGGCGATAGAGAAAAAGACACTCATCCTCACAGCTCCGGACATCCCCAGGAATGAGAGTCAGGCTCTACATACACCATTGCAGCCTCTCTCGGATTCCACCTGGTTCCCATAGCGTGCGTGTCCCTTCTTTCATCCCTTCTTCTGGGGGGGAGGTGCTGCCCTAGGCAAGTGCCTTGTTTGCCTTGTGGCAAATACGCCCCTGTGTGTGTGTGTGTGTATGTATGTGTGTGTGTGTGTATGTATATGTGTGTGTGTGTATGTATATATATATATATATATATATATATATATATATGTGTGTGTGTGTGTGTGTGTGTGTGTGTGTGTATTATATATATATATATATATATATATATATATATATATATATATATATATATAATATATATATATATACACACACACACACACACCATTTTGACCTTAAAGCTGCCGGAATCCTGGCAACCAATGACATCAGTTGATAAGGAAGATGTCAGCTTCCTGCACAGCATCCTAGTTTGACCCTCCCCTGCCCCACTCCATCAGTGCTGGGGTCACATTAGCTCAGTAATGGAGAAACACTGGAATATTACTTAGTTTGCAAAAGTGTATTTGCTTTGGAAGAATAAATCACCTCTAATGTTGGGTGTCCTATGTGTGTGGATGTTGCTGGGTTATAGAAAACTATTAGAATAATTTTCCACATTTTGGAATGCGGTTCCCTTTTAAAATTATGGACATTCTGGAGGTACCCCATTTTAGAGTGGGGTGCCTTCAGACTGTCCATAATTTGAAAGGGTGTTTCGGGACTGTCTATAATTTTGAAAAGGTGCCTTGACTGCAAAAAGGTTGAGAAACACTGATTTAGCAGCAGAAGAATAATGTGATTTTTGCATCAGCAGGTGGCACTCTGGGCTCTGTCACCTGTTTAGCTATGTACAGTTTTGACTAAAATACCATTTTAGTTTCATATTTTTGTCATCTGAATTGTTTTGTTTTAGTCCTATTGAGTTGACTAAAATCAGTACATTTTAGTCGACTAAAATCTAATGGGTTTAGTGAAATTGTATTGCATTATTTTTGCATTTCTCTCGAACTTCCAAACTCATTCTATACTCCTGGAGTAAAAAAAAAATAATCTAATGTTCATATTTATGGTATTCAGGTTTGAACATGCACTAAAGACACACATTTAGTCATCGTGATACATACCCAGTGCTAATTTTCACGCTAAATTTCGATTTTACTTTTAGTCCTAGTCTTTTGACTAAAATGCCTTTTCTAGTTTTAGTCGTCTGAATTGTTTTAGTCGGATTTTAGTCAACTAAAATAGTGTTGATGAAATGAACACTGGTGTGGAGTTAGACAATTCAAGCTTTTGGATTGCAATGATTGAGGTTGCACCATCATGGTTGCACCATCATGCAATATAATGCTACATTAAAGAGAAACTCCACATCCCTCAATATACATTGACTATTTTTAATCCTTATGCTGCATAGCATTAGTAAACATACAGGAAGGTATATCATATTTACTTGTTTTAAAACCCATTTTTTTTCCCACATTTTTTCAGTTACTTCCTAATTGTTTCCAGGTCTAGGCAAATGAATGTCATACATCCCCCTTAGGAGTCTTCAGGAGTGGAGGAAGAGTTTCTCAGCTAAGCATACCCTCTTAGCCTGAATGCCTGAGCTAAGGGCAGATGAATTCCAGGAAGGGCAATGGCTACATGAATCATCTGCCCTTACTCAAGATGTCCATGGCCAGAAGCGTAAAGAGAAGTGGTAGGGGAACTGTTTATCCAAGTGATTTCTCATCAAAATAAAGCATGGAAACGTGGATGGGTGGGCAAGTTAAATTAGAATATTAAAAATGAACGCAATTGCGGCTTTGGTTTTTCGTAATAAGATGAAGTGTAATTCTGCTTTAACATGCATGCACCTCCAACCTTGTGATTGTCATCCGAAATCACTAGCTACCTTTCTAGACCAACTGAGGTGTGGTTTACAGATACATGAGGCAAGAGAATGGTCCAGGAAGACAAAGAAGATGTGATTTCTCTTTCACAGGATGAGGCCAATGGGACCAAGAACGTTTGAATGCGCCCCAAGTCAGGTGCTTTCTTTAGAAAACCCATTCGTGTTTTGTGAAAGCAGTCCTTTGCCCATGAAGAATGTGTCATTGGTGCACCCTATATCTGATAATAGGATTTGTATATAGGGCCAACAGTTTTATGCTGCACTTTCACAAAAAAAATTTCAGTGGGGTCAGATGGTAAATTTACAATACTATTAAAAAAAAAGACATGAAAGGGGGTTAGGAGGCATATCTTTTGGAGGGCTTACAATCCAAAGGGAAGACCAAGTGATACAAAAGGTAATAGATGTGGGGGATGAGTTGTTTAAGCAAGTAAAATTCAGTTGTGTAGAGGCAGGATAGGCTTCCCTGAAGATATGATTATTCAGGGATTGCCTGAAGCCAGACAGGTTGGGGTAGGGAGTTCCAGAGAATAGGAGAGTGTATGGAGAAGTCCTGAAGCTAAGCGTGGGATGAATGGGCTATGTGGGGGCCAGAAAGCTGAGTTTTAGGAAGTGTTGTGACATCCAAACTGATAACTCCGTCAGTACATTAGCGATGCAAAAAAGAGGTTAAAGGGCAGAGAGATATGTGTATCATCAGCACAAAGATGGTTGGAAGGTTGTCCACTGATCAAGGGAGGTGGTGTAAATTGAGAAAAGAAAGTCGTAAATTATTATTATACAGGATTTATATAGTTCCAACAGTTTGCTCAGTGCTTTACAATATAACAGGAGACAATACAGTTCAATACAAGAGGGATTTGAGGGCCCTGCTCCTTGGAGCTTACAATCTAGGAATCTCTATTTGTAATACGATTGTATGTAGGTTGCAGTAGGTGAAATCTTCTTATTGTAGGAATTGCCTACAGCAAGTTCTTTGCCTTGTTCAAGAGGTGTCTGCAGTTCCATCACTGTGTTGTGTCAAGGTTAATAGCATTTAATACGTCAAGAATTGTTTTTCTCTGCAATTTCATCACCATCAGTGGAAGAAGGTGTTGCATATTGTTTAACCTACCCCTCCTTCTCTTTTTATTTCTTCCCTGGAGGGTAACAGAAGCTTCTGGAGGAACACGCGCACGACCCACCTGAGCTTGCACTCACTGGCATTCCCATTGTTCAGTGGCCCAAGAGAGAGCAGGTGAGCCCAATAGGGTTACTTAATTACTGACTGCAAGTCTGCCTTTATCTGTTTTGACGCCTTGCTATCCTCGTGTCAAAAAAAGTAATGAAGGCTTGTGTGTGTGTGTACTGGTACAGGTGTACATCCGTTTACGAATTTAATGTGTTCCTGGGACGTTTCGTATAGCGAAAAAGTTGTTACCGAAACACGGTTTCCCATAGGAATGCATTGAAAACCAATTAATCCTTTCTGGCGGTCAGAAAAAAAGTTTAAAAAAAAAAAAGTCGCTGTCACTATAGGTGAGTTATGTTTTTTTAAATGCAATTACCGGCTTTTTTTTTTTTCTTCACCATAGCTCAGAGAATCAGCTGTCAATTCCCCCCAGCTAAAAGAAACAAAGTTTTAGTTTATTTACCTGAGTTAAAAGAAACAATGTTTCCTTTTAGTTTATTTCCCGAGATAAAAGAAACAAAGTCTCCTTTAGCTCCAGGGAAAGTGACAGCTAAATCTGTGAGCTATAGTGAAGAAGAAAAAAAGCTGGCAATTGCCTTTAAAAATCGGCACCGACATACACTTCATATTGTGGAAAAAATTCATAAATCAAAGCATCATTTTCAATGGATTTTCATTTGTAAACCGAAAATTGTTAACAGAGGCGTTCGTAATCCGAGGTACACCTGTACTTAAAGTGTTCCTCTGCATTGAATGGTAAAAATACAGAAAAGAGCTATTTTAAATTACATTTTGTATGTATATACAGTGCATTCATAAAGTATTCATACCCCCTTCTTTCTATTTTGTTCTGTTGCAGCCTGATACTGCAGTTGTTTGAGTTTTTTTTTTTCTCTCTCTTATTTCTACACTTAGTACCCCATAATGACAAAGTGAAAACAGAATTTTAGAAATATTTGCAAATTTTATGAAAGAAAAACTGAAATATCACATTTGGCATAAGTATTCAGACCCTTTGCAACAACACTTGAAATTTAGCTCAGGTGCCTCCCATTTCTCCTGATCATTGCTGAGATGTTTATAAACCTTGATTGGAGTCCACCTGAGGTAAATGTAAATTGATTGGACATGATTTGGAATGGTATACACCTCTCTATGAAAGCCCTAACAGCTGACAATGCATACTGTATCAAAGGAAAGCCAAAGGAACTGCCTGCAGAGCTCAGATATGGGATTATTGCAAGGCACAGATCTGGGGAAGACTATGAAAAACATTTCTCTTCCGAGAGCTGGTTGCCTGGTCAAACCGAGCAATCAGTGAAGAAGGGACCTAATAAGAGAGGTGACAAAGAACCCAATGGTTGCTGAGAGGCTGAGCCAAATGCCAGTCAAGGCGACTTTACAGTCAGGATCTTTATCCAGCCTGGACTGGCTCTGTAACATCAGCCGACAGGATTGCAGAACTAACTGCACTCCTGTGATCCATAGAAGTACAGCCAAAAAAGCTTTGGCTAGATTTCTCTTTTTTTAAAGCAACATTTTTTTTTTTCTCTTTTGAAATAAAGGTTTTGCATGAATTAATAAAAGCTGACCATTATAAGCACCTCTCTCCGTGTTAAATGGTTGTCTGAACCCTCTAACTGCCAATTTGATGAAAGAAATGTTTTTACATACAGGATCCCCTGAAGGCAGAATGAGGTGCAAAGAACACTGTGATCACATCCACCATTGCTGATATATGTATTCAAATGGGAAATACAAAGGGGAAAGATTTGTAGGGAGGTAAGACTGTAGGAGGCTCTCACTCACATCTCAAGGAACTACATGCATCACATCTAGAAGGGAGGTTCCATTAAAGTAACTTTATTGTAAAAACACAAGGTTTATGTTCCAATGAGGACTGCTTTCGTTTTGATATGTGTCTGGGGGTGTTACAGCCAGATTAGTGAGCAATATGTATGGAGCTGCAAAGAAAACAAAGTGTCTGCTCAAATTCAGACTACAGAGATCTTGGTGTTCTTCTGTAGTGTGAGGTGGAGTGGGTAGCCACATCTGCATGTCATGCCAGCGTCTCCAAAACTTATCTAGTAGGGTGCGCCTGATTGAAGAGTTTCGAAAGAGATCTGGCAGAATCTCTCAGAGACTATATTGTATTTTTGCAAAGCTTTTTCAGAAAATGTCCTCGGGGACAGTTAGGATCTGCTGGTCTGGGACCCAGGTTCTATGGACCCTATCAATTTCTATGTCCCCTGCTGACATGTCTCCCAGGTGGTTGGCTAAGAAAACTCTCTTGTAGGTGTTTTGTAGATGTGGCTTCAAGAGGCCTCTGATTTGAATATTGTTTCTTGGGCTTTGGTCTTGTAGGGTCTTCTCTGTGCAGCTGAAAACTGTTTAGGTGCAAGAGTAGATGTAAGTTGGAATTCCAAGCCTTGTACTTGGTGTTGTCTGATGAAGTGGATTATATGGTATCTAGGTGGTAAGTTCCAAAGTTGTGATTTGTGCAGTATTTATCTTCTCAGAATGATTTCCCCACGTGGGCCAGACAAAACGTCAGTCTCCCCTGGAGTGGGTGCCTGGGTTATGCCTTGTTCTTGTTGTAGGCTGCCATCAGAACTGTCGTCTGATGAAGGAGACTTCATAGATCTGGCTGTTTGCAGCAGTGTATAGTGGGTAAGTGGGTGGTTGGTCGGGCCCAAGGTATCGGGGGATTGGGATGCAAAAAAACATGTGACTTGCTCTTAGGCATCTCTCATGCTTTCCCTGGGTTTGCTTGTGTTTAGGCATGGCCGAATAGGAGGAGCTGTGGTTTGGTATCTTGAACTGTAAGGCTGGATTGTGGTCAGCTGCACAGAAGTTCTCAAAGCATGTTGCTTAGGCCGGTTTCACACTGATGTGCTGCGGTTAGGCTGTTTTATTCTCATGTCTTACCTGCAGTCCCATAAACTTTCTATTAGGTAGCAGGTTTAGTGCGTTTTCTGAAAGCACTCCAAAAGTCCTGCATATTTGGTGCGCTTTCAGAAAACGCCAAAAACACAAGATCTACCACAGTCTATGGAACCACTGGTAAAATGTGCAAAACCACGGTTAAACCAGAGCTTCTGCCAACCATAGCGAAGCAGTGTGTAACTAGCCTTTCTCAGCTATGTTCTAGATAAGCCTCCAATACATACCGTTTTTGTTGTTTGCAGTTTCAGAGGCAGGGACTGGTGTTATAAGGTGTTCCTGGTCCAGTGTTAGGGAAGCCTCAGCACTCTGAGGTGGAGGGTCATGTGCGGCCCTGGCAAAGACACAGATGACCTAGAGTTTTGTCATGGCTCCCTTGTTCTTGGATTCTGCCTTTTGCTATACATTTTGGGGAATTTCCCTAATGGGGTACTCCCAGTGCAGGGTGCGGAATCCAGGGTAAAGGTTTCTGGAAGGGTTACGTAATAACCTGGTTGCAGACCAACCCTGTAACAAGTCCTTGTGGAAAGAGAGTGGTAGGGGTAGGAGCGCCTGTAAAGATTGTAGGTGGCAGTGCATGACTTGTGGTATGATGCCATACTTGGTTATTCACCTGAGCCTAAGCTCAGTGTGAATATTTATACAGAAAAAAGTTTTGGGCAATTACCTCTTAAGGTCTTAATTCATCCCCAGCCTTGCCTTGCCAAGTACCTCTTAAGGTCTCAATTCATCCCCAGCCTTGCCTGGAATACGTTTGGTTTATTCCTACTCACAGCCCAAAAAAGACAGATGGTTTAGACCCTGTTTCTTCTTCAGTCCCACACTTCTCTTGGTGATTTCATGAACTATCCCAGCCCTTGAGGCATTCTCTTCAAGGTTCCCACATATGGCCAATATTCAATATGATTTTCTCTCTCATGTTTGGTTGCCAATGAATATTAATATTTTCTTTACCCTGATTCCTGAGAGATCATGGGTCTTAACCTTTTCTGGGCATAAGGGATCTTCCACATCCAGCCCTAACTGGACTGCAGAGTTTTATATCCTCAATTACCTCCAGTAACAGAGTGGTTCTGCGACAGTTATGCCTTTTTTTTTTTTTTTTCTCCCCCATTTAGGCTTTGCTGCAGTAAATAATCTTCACCTCTCTCCTGGTGGCTGGTTGGAGTCAGGCATTCTAACATGCTATATCTTATTGTCCTTGATCTGATGATACACTGCCCAACAATCTTTCGGTCCATGGCAGAAAATACTGAATAGTTTGGATAACATACAGACATCCTCGCCCTATCATAGTTAATTTCTACGTCGGATCACGCTTATTAAAAAAAAAAAAAAAAAAAAAAAAAAAATGAATCTTGTTACATAAACATGAATCCAAAAGATCTGATATTGAAAACCAAAAATAGTTTCCTGGTATTAACTCCGAGCTTTTTGGTTATTTTACTGTAGATTATGAAGATCTAGAATATGTGGCAAAAGATCTGTCCTGAATAAAAAAAAAAAAATAAAATTATATTTAAAAAAAAAAGCAATATTGTGGTGCCTATGAAACTAAATGTGAATATATAATTAAACAAAGTTACCACAGAATTGTGAATCCTGCTATAATCAGACCATAGTGGCAGCTGCTCCTACTAAGTGAATAAACACTCCATATAACAAACTATAAATAAGCACTTGCTCAATAAAATAAGTGTACTAACATAAGAGTAGATGACATACAATTAGATCCATATGTATTTGGACACAGGCACTATTTTATTTTTTTTTTTTCAGGTGTTTACCAAAACATATTCAAGCTATAGTTATATATAGGGTATGGGCTGAAAGTGCACACTTTCAGGTTTAATTTGAGGGTATGTACATCCAAATTGAAGGAAGGGTTTAGGAATTAAAGCTCTTTAGGGTAGCCACCCCCCTTTTTCAAGGGACCAAAAGTATTTGGACAATTAAATATGATCAGAAATAAAATGTTCATTTTTAATATTTTGTTGAGAATTCTTTACTGGCAATGGCTGCCTGTAAAAAAAAAAAAAAAAAAAAAAAACCCTCACAAAAAAGGATAAAGCACCTCAATGGCTAATGAACAGAATATATTTTATTGGACCTAAACAATGAACAATTCAGTGCATAAACCCATCCATCCCCTCCTTCCCACAGCACACCCCCACCCAAAATGACTCCCCCCACACACAATGGAGCCCCCCAAAAATGGAACCCCACCCTTGCCACCCCCCAAGGTCACCCCCAGAGCGATCCCCCCTCCTCCCCCTAAGCACCCCCTCTACCCTAACAGGAATGGAGGGATCCGGGTGACATAGGCCAGCCCTCCACACCTCTCCATGTCCTCCTTCACTGTGCTGATGAAAACTCCCTAGGGACCCTGCTGTGATATGTGCTGATGACAAAATTTCAATAAGCCAGAAATTGTGTCAACTCCACAAAGTGTTCATATAGAGGAAGGCAAAAATGTGCCTATAACAGTTCGTATTTCACTCAGTGTGTAGTATACTCAAATCCTCCTTTGTTAACATCACTGTAATCAAAGCTTCAGAAAGGACACATAATTGGCACTAGACAGGTCCAGCCTACACCTTGGTAGCTGATTGACTCTATAGTCCATAGGCCGTAGAGTAAATCCATCATTCAATGCAACAGGTAAATGGAACAGTCTCACCATGTGGATCTCAGGACCTCTGTTCTGGTAAAGTAGAACAGATCATGCAGTCTCAGGTAGCGGTATCCAGGGATGAGACAGCACAGCTTGCAGTGCAGTATACAGCGTGCACACAGCCGGTCAGGAGAGCTGGCGTGCACTCTGGCTTCTCAGCAGGGGATTGCATGTGGAAGGAGGATGTAATCCCTTCTGCCTACATGTTTCGCCCCTCGCACTGACTGGGGCTTATTCAGAGCATCAGCACATATCACAGCAGGGTCCCTAGAGAGTTTTCATCAGCACAGTGAAGGAGGACAGGGAGAGGTGTGGAGGGTTGGCCTGTGTCACCCGGATCCGTCCATTCCTGTTATGAGGGGGCTGGGGGTGACCTTGGGGTGGCAAAGGTGGGATTCCATTTTTGGGGGTCTCCAGTGTGTGTGTGTGTGTGTAATTGTTTTTGGTGGGGGTGTGCTGTGGGAGGGGATGGATGGGTTTATGCACTGAATTGTTTATTGTTTAGGTGCAATAAATATATTCTGTTCATTAGCCATTGAGGTGCTTTATCCTTTTTTGTGAGGGTTTTTCTTGCAGTGATTTTCTTTTAGATGCACCTCCCCTTGGTATGTGTGTTCTGTGGGGAGCAGATGTACCACTCCCAGAACTGGCTGGAGAGCTGTTGGGTTTTTTTTTTTTTTTACAACCCATGGACATTACCAAAGACTGGGTATCCTCCTTTCTGATGCTTTGCCAGGCTCTATTTCAGCTGTCTTCAGTTCTTTGTGGGTCTTTCTGCCTTTAGTTTTGCCTTCAGCAAGTGAAATGCATGTTCAATTGGGTTGAGATCAGGTGATTGACCTGGCCATTGCAGAATATTCCACTTTTCCTTCAAAAGCTCCTGGGTTTCTTTTGCAGTGTGTTTTGGATCATTGTCCATCTGTACCGTGAAGCCTTGTCCAATCAACTTTGCTGCATTTGGCTGAATCTGGGCTGACAGTATATTCCTAAACACTGCAGAATTAATCCGACTGCTTCTGTTTTCTGTCACATCATCAATAAACTTTAATGACCCAGTGCCACTGGAAGCCATGCATGCCCATGCCATCACACTGCCTCCACCATGTTTTACAGATGACGTGTGCTTTGGATCATGACCTGTTCCAAGCCATCTCCACACTTTTTTTCTCTTCCCGTCATTCTGGTACAGATTAATCTTAGTTTCTTCCGTCCAAAGAATGCTTTTCCAGAACTGGTCTGGCTTTCTTAGATGTTTTTTGGCAAAGTCTAATCTCGCTTTTCTATTCTTCGGGCCTATGAATGGTTTGCACCTTGTGGTGAACCCTCTGTATTTGCTCTCGTCAAGTCTTCTCTTGATTATAGACTTTGACAATGATATGCCCACCTCCTGGAGAGTGTCCTCAACTTGTCTGTATGTTGTGAATGGGTTTTTCTTTACCATAGAGAGGATCCTGTGATCATCCACCGCTGTTGTCTTCCGTGGACATCCATACCTTTTTTATGTTGCTGAGCTCCCCAGTGTGTTCCTCTTTCCTCAAAATGTACCAAACTGTTGATTTGGCCACTCCAAAAACGAAACAAATCCATCTGAGAGATAGCAGCAACATTAGAAGCCTTACATTGGCCTGTTCCACTTGCATGGACAGCTCCTTTTGAATGATCTATGTTCATAGCAGCAGATTCCAAATGCAAATACCACACTTAGAATCAACTCCAGATCTTTTACCTGCTTAATTGATGAAGAAATAACAAAGGAGTAGCCCACACCTGGCCATGAAACAGCTTTTGATTCAATTTTCCAATTACTTTTGGTCCCTTGAAAAAGTGGGGCTGTCTACTCTTAAGAGCTAAACCCTTCCACCAATTTGGCTGTACATACCCTCAAATTAAACCTGAGAGTGTGCACTTTCAGCTCATATCCATTATAGAACTATAGCTTGAACATGTTTTGGTAAATACCTGAAAAAAAGTTAAATTGTGCTGATGTCCAAATATATTTGGACCTAACTGTATACATCATGTGGATGATTATCTAATACAGGTTATGATAAAGTCTCAAAAAACGTATGCATGAGTGAGAGTTCCATTGGAGGGTGTCACATAAATCCAGTGAATTCTTCTCCACCACTCATGCGTAATAGATGAATTTCTTACTCACCAGAAGGTGTTGACCCCCGGCTAGGGTGGTCAAATATCACTAGGTAATCAAATGGTGTATGAATTCCCAGCTGCAGGCTCATACGATGAATCTCCAAGCTCCCCTTCTAGTAATGGCTCTCCAGAAAGCTCAAATAAAACACATTTTCATAAAATTGCTTTAACTCTTAGCAGGAAGGAACCGTAAGAATACTCCATCAAAGAATGAACCAAGTTAAAGCAATTTTATGTTTTAATGAAGAGGATTTTATTATACCCTGTATTAGATAATCATCCACATGGTGTTGGGAGAGCACTTCAAAAGATCTGTCCTATTCAACTCCACTTCACATGAGGCTTTTTTCCCCACTTATCTCCTAATAGAACCTTCCCCCTCTTCACAAGGCCTCCTTCTGTACTGTCCATCTCTGGCACTAAAGAGATTATCACTCTGTTTCCCTTAAAGTGGTAGTAAAGTCTGTGTATTTTTTTTTTTTTTCTTCTGCCTCTCTCTTAGTATAAAGTTCATCTACGGCCGAAGATCCAGTTCACCAAGCCTCACATCATGCGGCCAGCAGCCAGACATGCCGTGTCCACTACTCGGCCCGCAGGTACAATTTCTGGCCACACGGCGTCATCTGGTGTCCGTAGGCGGCGGGTTAGGTGTCGGAAATGTCAGGCATGTCTTCAGCGAGAGTGTGGGACTTGCCACTACTGTAAAGATATGAAGAAGTTTGGTGGCCCAGGCCGGATGAAGCAGTCATGTATGCAAAGGCAGTGCCTTGCGGTGAGTATCTAGTCTGAATCTGTAATAAAATACACTTGAATCATGCGCTTGCTGTGGCTGCAAATGACAATTTTCTGACAGGGCACATTCAGCAAGAATAGAACTTGCTGTACCTAGCATGCAAACAGCCAAAAGAGGAGTCTACTTTCAAAGAGTCTTCAACTCCTTGGCGCCGAATGTATGCAAATACGCGGCCTCTCCGTGGCTAGGCCTTGGCGCTGAGGGGCTGTGTATTTGCATACCCAATGTAAACAAAAAGCTCCAGACACCTCACGGAAAGGTCGCGATCGCTACTTGCGGTCGGGAGCTTTCCGATCATTTAAACACCATGACAGCCAATCACAGCAGTCACATAACCCTAAACCCCCACCCCGCCTCCCGGTGTCATAAACCTCTTAAAGGGCCTGTAGGCATCGGTGCCAAGAGTTTAAAAAAAAAAAAAACCTGATGAAAAAATATGGCATTGCAGAAATCTATATAATCTTATAAGCTTGAAAAATGCTAAAAATGCTTGATAAAAAAACACTGATATAATTTTTGTGCCAGCTTGTAATAGCGTTTAGAAGCGTTCGTGGCTGAAAAAAGACAAAAGTCCATCCAGTTCAACCATTAAAAAAAAAAAAAAAAAAAAAAAAAAAAAAAAGTTATAACCCTACACCCCCACAGTTGATCTAGAGGAAGGGAAAACCCCCAGAAAAGCATGATCCAATTTGCTCCTGCAGGGAAAAATAATCCTTCCTGATCCTCCGAGAGGCAATCGGATATTCCCTGAATCAATTTTACCTATACAGTGAAGGAAATAAGTATTTGATCCCCTGCTGATTTTGAATGTTTGCCCACTCACAAAGAAATGATCAGTCTAAAAATCAAATGGTAGGTGTATTGTAACACTGAGAGACAGAATAGCAACAAAAAATTCAGCAGAAATGCATGTCTAACAAATTATGCACTGATTTGCATGTTCTGAGGGAAATAAGTATTTGATCCCCTTCACAAAACATGACTTAGTACTTGGTGGCAAAACACTTGTTGGCAATCACAGAGGTCAGACGTTTACTGTAGTTGGCCACCAGGTTTGCACACGTCTCAGGAGGGATTTTGGTCCTCTTGGCAGATCTTCTCCAAGTCATTAAAGTTTGGTGGCTGAGGTTTGGCAACTCGAACTTTCAGCTCCCTCCACAGATTTTCAATCAGATTAAGGTCTGGAGACTGGCTAGGCCACTCCAGGACCTTTAATGTGCTTCTTCTTGAACCACTCCTTTGTTGCCTTGGCCGTGTGTTTTGGGTTATTCTTATGCTGGAACACCCATCCATGACCCATTTTCAATGCTCCTGGCTGAGGGAAGAAGGTTCTCACCCAAGACTTGATGGTACATTTCTATGTCAAAATAGGTGACTGGAACCATATGGATAAAATGCGCACTCACCGACCGCACATTTAAAATGCGCATGTATATGACCATCTGACAGGTGATCAGCCAGACCCACGGACCATCCCTCAAAGGTGGATCATCAGACTTGGGTGTAGTATTATGTGGCCAGGACCAAGGAACACTTAGAGCCAGTAAGTAAGGGCGGATGAGCTCCTTCTTCTGGATGCAAGGTGCACAAGGAACCAGCTGCTAATGATCTGAAACCCTCGGAGAGAGGGTTGAAAAACAGAGAGGGAGTGCCAATAGTGTAGTAGGTTTCAAATGGATTTATTAGGTCACAAGTAGGATAAACAGCCAGGGGTACATGTGTACATATATTGCCAATATGAAAGCAATAAAAAAGACATGCACTGACCTGGCACCATAAGAAACCGCCGGACCTCCTCGTGGTCACGGCGGTGCAGGAAAATCACACGTGCTGTGCGTGATGGCATTCCCCCTCTGATGATGTGCCGTAGCACAAAAGGCCTCAGGAGGAGCCAACAGCACGTGTGATTTTCCTGCACCGCCGTGACCACGAGGAGGTCCGGCGGTTTCTTATGGTGCCAGGTCAGTGCATGTCTTTTTTATTGCTTTCATATTGGCAATATATGTACACATGTACCCCTGGCTGTTTATCCTACTTGTGACCTAATAAATCCATTTGAAACCTACTACACTATTGGCACTCCCTCTCTGTTTTTCAACCCTCTCTCCGAGGGTTTCAGATCATTAGCAACTGGTTCCTTGTGCACCTTGCATCCAGAAGAAGGAGCTCATCCGCCCTCACTTACTGGCTCTAAGTGTTCCTTGGTCCTGGCCACATAATACTACACCCAAGTCTGATGATCCACCTTTGAGGGATGGTCCGTGGGTCTGGCTGATCACCTGTCAGATGGTCATATACATGCGCATTTTAAATGTGCGGTCGGTGAGTGCGCATTTTTTCCATATGGTTCCAGTCACCTATTTTGACATAGAGAGGATTCTCACTGCAAGTTTTCTTTAAAAAAAACCCTTGTCGCATTCATGGAGGATTTATGAACTTTTTGCTTCTTTGTTCATACATTTGTTTATAGACTTTTAATACAGCGCTGCACTATATATTTCAATACTTATGATATGAGATCTGGTGATTTCTTTGAGTGTCCTAGCAGCTGATTATCATGAGCGCTCACTTTATTTCTTTTTAGTTTGATGGTACATTGCCCCGTCCATCGTCCCTTTGATGTGGTGCAGTTGTCCCCTTAGCAGAAAAACACCCCCAAAGCAGAATATTTCCACCACCATGTTTGACAGTTGGGATGGTGTTCTTGGGGTCATAAGCAGCATTCCTCCTCCTCCAAATGGCGAGTTGAGTTGATGCCTAAGAGCTCGATTTTGGTCTCATCTGACCTGAGTCCTCCTCTGCATCATTCAGATGTTAAGTGGCAAACATCAGATAGGCCTGGACATGTGCTTTTTTGGGCAGAGGGACCTTGTGGACACTGCAGGATTTCAATCCTTGTTGTCGTAGTGTGTTACCAGTTGTTTTCTTGGTGAATGTGGTCCCAGCTGCCTGGAGATCATTGACAAGATCCTCGTGTAGTTCTGGGATGATTCCTCTGTTCTCATGATCATTGACACTCCACGAGGTGAGATCTTGCATGGTGCACCAAACCTAGGTAGACTGACAGTTGTTTTGTGTTTCTTCCATTTGCGAATGATTGCACCAACTGTTGTCACCTTCTCACCAAGCTGCTTGGTGATAGTTTTGTAGCCCAGTCCAGCCTTGTGTGGGTCTACAATCTTGTCCCTGACATCCTTGGACAGCTCTTTGGTCTTTGCCATGGTGGAGAGTTTGGAATCTGTTTGATTGCTCCTGTGGACAGGTGTCTTTTATACAGGTAACAAAATGAGATTAGCAGCACTCCCTTTAAGAAACTACTTCTAATGTCAGCTTGTTACCTGTATGAAAGACACCTGGTAGCCAGAAATCCTGCTGAATAATAGGGGATCAAACACTTATTTCCCTCATGAACATGCAAATCAGTGTATCATTTGTTAGACATACATTTCTTTTTAATTTTTTGTTGCTATTCTGTCTCTGTGTTACAATACACCTACCATTCGATTTTTAGACTGATCATTTCTTTGTGAGTGGGCAAACATTCAAAATCAGCAGGGGATCAAATACTTATTTCCTTCACTGTAAATGTTAGTATCCAGTTATATTCTGTGTATCTAAGAAAGAATCCAGGCCTGCCTTAAAGCAATCCACTGAGGTGGCCAGAACCAACTCTTGAGGGAGTCTATTCCACATTTTCACAGCTCTCACTGTGAAGAACCCTTTCCATGTTTGGAGCGTAAATTTCTTTTTCTCCAGACGTAAAGAGTGCCCCCTTGTCCTCTGTGATGACCTCAGGGTGAATAGCTCTACACTATACATCAGTGGTTCACTATATGAACCACTGATGTATTTATACATGGAGATCATATCCTCCTTATGTATTATACCTCATATCCCCCCCCTTATGTATTATACATGGAGATATTTATACATGGAGATCCCCCCTTATGTATCATCCCCCCTTATGTATTATACATGGAGATCATATCCCCCCTTATGTATTATACATGGAGATCATATCCCCCCCCCCTTATGTATTATACATGGAGATCATATCCCCCCCCTTATGTATTATAGACATGGATGGAGATTAAATATACATATCATGTATTATACATGGAGATCATATCCCCCCTTAGATCATATCCCCCCTTATGTATTATACATGGAGATCATATCCCCCCTTAATCTCCCCCCCTCTCCTCTCGAGACAGAATAAATTCAGTTCCTCTAATCTTTCCTCAGAGCTGAGCTCCTTCATACCTCTTGTCAAGTCGGTTGCCCTTTTCTGTACTTTCTCCAGTTCCCCAATGTTCTTTTTGTGAATTGGTGCCCAAAACTGAACTGCATATTCCAGATGAGGTATAACTAATGATTTGTACCGGGGAAATTATATCTCTCTCTCTGGAGTCTATACCTCTTTTAATAAAAGAGAGGATCTTGCTCGCTTTAGAAACCGCAGCTTGGCATTGCATGCCATTATTAAGCTTGTGATCTACCAGAACTCCCAGATCCTTCTCCACCATTGATTCCCCCAGTTGTACCCCTCCCCCCCCAGTATGTATGATCCATGCATATTCTTAGCCTCCCAAGTGCAGAACCTTACATTTATCAACATGAAACCTCATTTGCCACATAGTTGCCCAATTACACAGAGCATTGAGGTTGGCTTGTAAGTTTGAGACATCCTGTAAGGACGTTATTCCACTGCACAGCTTGGTGTCATCTGCAAAGACTGAAATGGGATTTATAATCCCAGATCCTATATTGTTTATAAATATATTAAAAAGTAAGGGTCCCAACACTGACCCTTGGGGTACACCACTGACAACCATATACTTTGCAGAGTATGAATCATTAACCACTAGTCTTTGAATACAATCTTCTGTTAGTGTTTTTACAGTATGTGAAGGAATAAAAAGTTTAATAAAAGAAGCTTTTGGAAGCATCAGCGTTTTTTTTCTGCTGGGAAAACGGTCAAAAGAACTGTACAAAAACAATTTTTTCCTGCTTCTAAACGCTGATGCTTGAAAAACGCTTCTAGCAAAAAATAGTGTGCATGGAATCCTGGGAAAACACTATTGGCTTCTAGTAGCAGAAAAAAAATGCTCCAGATAGCTTCTAGGTGCTTTAAAAAACGCTATTGTGTATGGAGCCAAATAGTGTATTTAAAACATAGGTCCGCTTTGTGCAGGAGAAAAGGTGATGGGGAAGAAGATCCAGCATGTCCTGTTACTAGCGTTAAAATTATAAAAAAAATTGGCATACTGGAAATGAACTCTTAGAGCCCTAGAATTGGGCTTTAATGACTATGCTTCTGTAAACTTGAGACATCCTTACATGGTTGCATTCTTTCACTGATGAGGCTACCCTTTATCCTTCAGCCCAGATTGCCCCATTCTGTGACCTGTGCCGTATGTGGAGAGGTGGACCAGACAAATGACTCTCAAGACTTTGAGCGCAAGCTGATGGAGTGTTCGGTGTGCAATGAGATAGTCCATCCTAGTTGCCTAGATGTGAGTAACCAACCCTGTTATCTTTCCAGTAAATGCTGATGAATTTATAAGATATTTATCAAGTGTTTGAATAATTGAGGGCAGACAGAGCTATCTTCAGTAGACATTAGAGATCTCTATGTCACCACTGTTTATTATTTTGTTATATTATGAGGTGACTGAGTCTCTCTAACTTTCATTCTGCCAGTTATGCTCTAGCAGCTAGTTTTTCTGATAGCTATGTGTTATTGTAGCCCATATTCTATTTTTTTTTTGGTGAGTCTTAATCTGTAAAAATACAGGCTGAATGGTACCTGGGTGCATCTCTGACCTCTCAAACCACACTGAAACAGTAGGAGGGGGCTTGTCCAGCACATATGTAGCAACCAGCGAGCCTACTCAAAAGAGATAGAAAATAAATATAAATAAATATATATATATATATATATAGTTGTGTTCAAAATAATAGCAGTGTGTTGAGAAAAGTGAATAAAGCTCAAAATCCTTCTAATAGCTTTTATTTCCATACACACAAATGCATTGGGAACACTACACATTCTATTCCAAATCAAAACATGAAAAAAATATATCAAATTTGTGTTGTTCCTCTAAAAAATTGAAGAAAAGTAAATATTAGACTGTTCAAAAAAATAGCAGTGTTTGTATTCTTCTTTATAAACTCAAACATTCACTATACAAACTGAAAAATGTTTGAAGATTTTGTTTTCCTTTGAATCAATTAATATTTAGTTGTATAAGCACTGTTTCTGAGAACTGCTGTACATCTGTGTTGCATGGAGTCAACCAACTTCTGGCACCTGTGAACAGGTATTCCAGCCCAGGATGATTGGACTACATTCCACAGTTCTTCTCTATTACTTGGTTTTGCCTCAGAAACTGCATTTTTGATGTCACCCCACAAGTTTTCTATTGGATTAAGATCCGGGGATTGGGCTGGCCACTCCATAACATCAATCTTGTTGGTCTGGAAACAAGATGTTGCACGTTTACTGGTGTATGTTTGGGGTCGTTGTCTTGTTGGAACACCCATTTCAAGGGCATTTCCTCTTCAGCATAAGGCAGCATGTCCTCTTCAAGTATTCTGATGTATTCAAACTGATCCATGATCCCTGGTATGCGATAAATAGGCCCAACACCGTAGTATGAGAAACATCCCCATATCATGATGCTTGCGCAACCATGCTTCACTGTCTTCACAGTGTACTGTGGCTTGAATTCAGTGTTTGGGGGTCGTCTGACAAACTGTCTCCGGCCACTAGACCCAAAAAGAACAATCTTACTTTCATCAGTCCGAAAAATGTTGCGCCATTTCTCTTTAGGCCAGTCAATGTGCTCTTTGGCAAATTGTAACCTCTTCAGCTCATGTGTTTTTTTTTCAACAGTGGGACTTTGCGGGGGCTTCTTGCAGATAGCTTGGTTTCACATAGGCGTCTTCTAATTGTAACAGTACTCACATGTAACTTTAGACCTTTTTTGATCTTCCTGGAGCTGATTGTTGGCTGAGTCCTTGCCATTTTGGCTATTCTTCTATCCATTCGAATGGTAGTTTTTCGCTTTCTTCCACGTCTTTTAGGTTTTGGTTGCCATTTTAAAGCATTTGCGATCATTTTAGCTGAGCAGCCTATCATTTTCTGCACTTCTTTATGTTTTCCCCTCTCCAATCAACTTTTTAATCAAGGTACGCTGTTCTTCTGAACAAATGTCTGGAACGACCCAGTTTCCTCAGAATTTCAGAGAGAAATGCACTGTAACCTGCATGTACAACATTTGCTGCCTTCCTTCCTTAAATAAGGGCAATAATTGCCACCTGTTTTTCAAAGAATGAATGACCTCACTAATAGAACTCCACACTGCTATTATTTTGAACATGCCGATTTCAATTAGTGATTCAATTACACAGAATCAGCAGCATGCATGTCATTGCTGTTGGGTCTGTTGGATTTCTATTACTCTACTACACCTGCTAGTAAATTATTTGCCATGTAGAAATATCATTTATACCAAAAACAGTGATTGCTCAGGTTAGTGATGTCTGACTGCTATTATTTTGAACACAACTGTGTGTGTGTGTGTGTGTGTGTGTGTGTGTGTGTGTGTGTGTGTGTGTGTGTGTGTGTGTGTGTGTGTATATGTATGTATATGTATGTGTGTGTATATGTATATATATATATATATATATATATATATATATATATATATGTATGTATATGTATATATATGTATGTATATGTATGTATATATATGTATATATATATATATATATATATATATTTATTTATTTACTGGGTGGGGCTGAGTAGTATGAAGAGGACATTCTTGTGTCACTACATTTTTTGCTTTCAGGATAGAATTGCTAATTTTCTTAAATGCACAAAGGTACTGTGGCCTGAACCGCATGAATTGGCTTAGCCTATGTACTCTATGGGGATGCAGCAGCTGTACGGACACAGCCGATTGTACTTATTTAATAAGTGTGCAGGGGCAGGTGAGCAAACTTCCGTTGCCTCACCACCACATAATGTCAACTTGTCTGATTGTAGAACAGTCTTGCTGTAATCTGTGCCACCAGCTTACATTTTTTACCAGTTCTGGACTGCTTGCAGTGTGCCTATGGTGGTAGTAGTTATCTCCACCCTTGCATCTTTTTGCAGTTTGCTCCTACAGTCTATTCTGTCTTAGGAGTCTATCTTAGCTTTGTCTCGTGTGTGATAAAATGGTGCTCACCTTGAGTTCTTCATTTTAAGGCCATTGTTTTTTTTGTTTTTGTCTTGTATGTCCCCTCTTGGTTGAACTAGATGGACCTGTGTCTTTTTTTTTTTTTTTTCCAGCGAAGTATGTCACTGTATCTTGCTTCCTGATAAAAACATCCTAAAGCGATGGGCGATTTAGCAATCTCTGCAACGCTGAACCCACCTGCTGAAAGGTCATCTGATTTAGTCAGACAACGCCACAGCGGTGGTATGCCTTTGCCATTAGGGAGAGACCTGAGTTTTTCCCGAGGCAAAAGGGGTTGATCCTTCCTGTTGTGAGCAGAACTTCACATTCCTGCCTTGTCTGCAGTGTATATCTCATGCGTTGATGATTGGCAGGCTTCCCCAGCCAGCAGTGTCAAGACTCATGGGGAGTGGTCCCTACACCTAAAAGGTACAGAAGAGTCTTTTATATATTCCTTTTTGAGTAGAACGCATTTGTGGCGAATTCTTGGACAACTTTATCAAGGAAATCACCAGTGGAAAGAGCATCTCTTTGCCCCAACAATATCAGGCTAAGTCTCTGACTGGAAAACCCTCTACCTCAGAGGCTAAGAAGAATTATTTTAATTTCTCGCAGGCCTTCTAGGCAAAACCCAGGACTCCATGCTTCTGTAAATCCTGGACGCCAATACCTCCAAGTCTGCATGCCTGCAAGCAAGTCCTCCTCCAACCTAATTACTGTTCCCAAAGACAAAAGCAGGCATTTGCTCCATTTTGGCACTTCTAAACATCTTTCTGTGGGTACAAAAATTCTGCATAGGTTCTGCTAGGTCAGCCATTGCCTTCACTGACTGCTGTGAACGTAAGATGCAATTTTTCATGTCCTCCTCTTCCTAGCGCATCAATTCTTCCTGTGTTTTTTTTTTTTTTTTTGTGGTGGGCACTCAACACTAACACTTTTTTGACCTACTCTTTGATCTGTCCTTAACACCTTGGCTTTTCACCAGTGTGGTAGCCCTGTTCTTGTCTTGCTTTGCTCTCGGGGCATCCTCGTACCGTAGTGCAATATCTGGACAACCTTCTTTTGAGAGAACAAATTGGCATGGCATGCATAAGCCAACGAGTGTTTAGACCCTGCAGACGTTCAGGTGCATTCTAAACCTCCAGAAGTTATCACTGGAACGGTCTCCTCACTTGAAGAATCTAAGCCTGGCTCTGGATATCTCCATGTCCAAAGTCTTTCTTCCACAGTACAAGGTCTGGGCTGTCCACTCCCACGTTTGGACTCCACAGTCCAGGAGCCATCCAACCCTCTGCTTTTGCATGAGGATTCCGGGCTTGATGGTGGCATTTTCAAAGCAGTTCTGCATGGTCAGTATCATTCCAGATTGTTGTAACTCATTCTGAGAGACTAGGCCAGGCAGACTCAGTCTCTGGATACGCTGCTACGTTCATCTAATTTGCAAAACCAGGCTTTCCCTGGCATGGTGCATTAGGAGTTCAGCGATGGAGTTGAGGAAATCCTCCCTTTTTGGGATCACATAGCCTTTACAGAGGATGCCCTGGTGATTCCATGGGATCAGTTCAACCTGATCTATGCTTTTTCTCCTCTTAAGCTCCTTTCTAGTCTGCTTTGCAGATCCAGATGGCGGGCACTTCGGTGATTTTCATCTCGCCAAACTTGCCCAAGTGTACATTGTACTGAGACCTCCTCAGACTCTCCTGTGTGCTCTTCCAGTAAGTCCACGTCTTCTGTCCTAGGGGCCAAGGTAATCACCCTGTTTCAGTCGCTGGCTTTAAGCGCCCAGCTGTTTAAGCCCAGGTCCTGAAGGACAAAGGTTCACCTCATTCAGTTATCCCTAAGTTCTTGAAAACTAGGAAATCTACCTTTCACAGAGGCATCTCGCAGAGCTTATTTCTCATGGAATTTCTATTCTAAGAAAAACTCTGCGGCTCTTGAGTCAGCACTTGGCATTGAGTACCATCAAGGGTCAGATCTCGGCCCTAACAATTTTTAAAGACCACTTGATTCTCATTCCCTAGTGAAGCGGAGTTGTTCTACAGCTCTGTTTGCCAGTGTCCAATCTCCAAAGGGCAACTACACAATTCAGTATGACACTTCCTCTGCCCCTTAATGCAGTTCAAGAAAAGGATTTTACAGGTAAGAAAAAAATTCTATATTCACAGCAGTTACTAAAGCAGAGAAAAATTACATGTAAGAGGATTTAAAACTGACACAACACAACTACTGTTTCTAAAAATGGCCAATGGGAAAGCAAATAAAAAAAATGCAAATTTCGTACCATGCGACAATCTGATATGTTTTTAAAAGGACAATTTTTTCCTTAAAGGATAAGTTCACCTTTCTATAAAAGGTATATATATTGCTGCCACAGGAAGGGTGGGGATTGGGCGGCAGCTGCAGGATCAGCAACATGTTGCATGTCCCACATTAAAAACAGGTGGAACATGTTACCAAAGGTCAACTTATCCTTTAACATTATTACCTATATGTAAACTCCAACAATGACCTCTTCTTGGCCCCCATTGGTCAGTTAGTATACATTTTTAAATAATTTTGTTATATTCTGGAAGCCTGGATAAAAGACTCCCAAGTAACCAATTCCTACATCCTTTCATGCTGCTAGGAGGTATAAACCATTGGGCACTCCTATCTAGAGCACTATAGGATAGTTTTCGTGTCCTAGCAACAAGGCAGGACATGAGGATTTCTAGCTGGGAGGTTTTTGTGCAGCCTCCCAGGTGGGCCCAAATAGGCTATTTTTCTGGAAAAGGTGAAGTTGGCCTTTAAGGTGGGTTTTTTTTTTTTTTTTTTTTGTTTGTTATTTTTTTTAACCTCCCTTCCTCTTACAGATGGACGGTGAAGGTTTTTTGAGCGATGAGTTACCAAACTACTGGGAGTGTCCCAAATGTTATGAGAGCCGCAAGCACACGGTAAGTATAGTAAACCTACATTTCAGGAGCCATAACCATGGAAATGTAAGAAATACCCTTTTTGTTCTTTACCTGATCTCCTCCTGGTAACATGCTGTCGTATAACTCTTGTTTTAGGTTAGAGAATGATTAACAGCATTGGCTGTCAGCACATGTAGATTTTATATCTGTACTGGCTGTGTCTCTTTACTTGCAGTGATTTTTTTGTTGTCTGCCAGTTTTATGTATTTCTCCACACGAATGGTATTTTTACAAATTTTTAATTATTTATTTGGGATAAAAACTGTTTAACTACTTGCCAACCGCAGATAGCCGAATGACGGCTACACTGCGGCCGGCCAGTTCTGGGACACAGCTGATAACGTGATGTGGTAAAAGGCCAATCACAGTGGCCTTTTACCACGTAATCAGCCGTGTCCAATGACACGCTGATCACCGGGAAATGCAATTGCCAGTTCTCGGCTGCACTTTCCTCACGCTGTCAAAGCGTGAGGAAAGTACTGCCGAGAACCGGCACTTGTCAGAGCAGGAATCGGCACCGATCATCAGGGCACTGATGATCAGTGCCCTGATGATCGGTGCCCAGCAGTGCCACCCACCAGTTCTGCCCTCCTGTGCCCAGCAGTGCACCTACCTGTGCCACCCACCTGTGCCCACCAGTGCTACCAGTCAGTGCCCAGCGGTTGTGCCAGTCAGTGCCCAGCGGTTGTGCCAGTCAGTGCCTAGCAGTGGTGCCAGTCAGTGCCACCTCATTAGTGCTGCCTCATTAACGCACATCAGTGAAGGAGAAAAATGACCTGTTTTGAAAAATTTTATAATAGAAACAAACTTTTATTTTTTTCCAAAGCTTTGCACTTTTTTTTATAGCGCAAAAAGTAAAGTGCCCAGCGGCGATTTAAATACCACCAAAAGAAAGCTCTATTTGTGAGAAAAAAATTATAATTTTATATGGGTACAATCTTGCATGACCGCGCAATTGTCAAAGTGCGACAGCGCTGAAAGCTGAAAATTGACCTGGTAAAGAAGGGGGTATAAGTGCCCGGTAGGCAAGTGGTTAAACAACACAAAATATACTCTGGTAATTTGATGAAGCCTCTAAAATGGAGTTAATATTGGTTGGAATTAGGCACCAAGTGAGATAATTACTAAGATGAGCCTTTATAGAATGAAGCCCTTTTCAGATCTATCCAACACTTGCTGCACCACGCAGAACCTGGACAAACTCTATATGTCCTGGTGACCAGTCAGGGACAGAAAAGTATGGAAAATCCAACATTTTTTAGAGTTGAAACCAGAAGTTCCCCAATGTTCTTTTTGTGAATTAGTGCCCAAAACTGAACTGCATATTCCAGGTGTTGTGCCTCTTTCCTCTCCCTTTGCCATCCACAAAGCACTTTAGGTAATGAAACTGTGGTTGCGCTTTGTGAATGGCAAAGCTGAGGAAGGGGGTGAAAACAAAACAGCAGATCTTGTCTGTTATAGATGTTTTGTTGTGGCGGGGAATTACAGCTTGCAGCAGTTCAATGTGGAATAATAATTAGGATTTTTATAGTTTGTGTGGGACAGTACAGAACAACAGTGTAATCGAATTTAAGACCAGAGGATTCGGGGGGCACTGCTCGTAAAAGCTTTAACTACCTGCCGACCGCAGAGAGCCGAATGACGGCTGCAGTGCATCCGGCCAGTTCTGGGTGGACGTCATATGACGTCCTCCCAGAACGCGCTCTCCTGCGCGCCCCAGGGGGCGCGCACCTGGCGATCTCCGTGATCGCTGTGTCCTACGGACACAGCTGATCACGTGATGTGGTGAAAGGCCAATCACAGCGGCCTTTTACCACGTGATCAGCGGTGTCCAATGACACGCTGATCAGAGGAAAATGCAAGTGCCGGTTCTCGGCTGCACTTTCCTCACGCTGTCAGATCGTGAGGAAAGTACTGCCGAGAACCGGCAGTTGTCAGAGCGGGGATCGGCACCGATCATCAGGGCACTGATGATCAGTGCCCTGATGATCGGTGCCCAGCAGTACCACCCGCAAGCTCTGCCCACCTGTGCCCAGCAGTGCGCCCACTAGCTCCGCCCACCTGTGCCCAGCAGTGCACCCACCTGTGCCACTCTGCAGTGTCACACACCTGTGCCCAGAAGTGCCACCCACCTGTGCCCACCAGTGCCACCCACCATTGCTGCCAGTCAGTGCCACCAGTCAGTGCCCAGGGGTTGTGCCAGTCAGTGCCCAGCAGTGATGCCAGTCAGTGCCGTCTATCAGTACCCATCATCAGTGCCGCCTATCAGTGCTGCATATTAGTGCCGCCTATCCGTGCCACCTCATTAGTACTGCCTATCAGTGCCCTTTAGTGCTGCCTATCAGTGCCCATCAGTGCTGCCTCATCAACGCACATCAGTGAAGGAGAAAAATTACCTGTTTGAAAAATTTTATAATAGAAACAAAGAAACTTTTTTTTTTTTCCAAATTTTTTTGCAATTTTGTATTTATAGCGCAAAAAGTAAAGCGCCCAGTGGCGATTAAATACCACCAAAAGAAAGCTCTATTTGTGAGAACAAAATGATCAAAATTTCATATGGGTACAATGTTGCATGACCGCGCAATTGTCAATCAAATGCGGCAGTGCTGAAAGCTGAAAATTGGCCTGGTAAATAAGGGGGTATAAGTGCCTGGTAGGCAAGTGGTTAAAGGCTAATCAAGTAACAAAAAATCTCTTCTGGATTAAATGTGAGCCATAGCAAATTTTAAAGGTTTATAAATGTAAAAAATGTTTTCTAAAGATGGACTTTAAGTTGTGGATTTCCTTTTCTGGTTCCCGAGAATGAGGACAAACTCTAAACTGCCTCAACTATTTCAGCTGCATCATCATACCCATCTTTTTGCTGGTAGTTCATGTTTGACATAGGATATGTTTGTGTGCTTTTAGTGATGATCAAGTTAGCTCAAGGTGAATTGTACACCAGGGAGCCATTTTTTTTTCTTTGGCTTTGGAACCTGCCTTAGATGGTTTTGTCCCATGTGACATCCTGTGTCTGGCATTGCCCGGATGTTCTGAAGCTATAGAAGTCCCTTCCAAATATCATGTTCATTTCTTAGCTTATAAAATGTCACCTTAAAGCTGCACGATTAATTTCACCCTACACCAATGGGGTGAGCATTACCTTAACTTTGCTAATCCATGACATCCCCATTCTACTTGCACAACCACAACATAAACATACAGTGAAAAGCCGAGAAATGGTTGTTTAGGGCGAGTGATATCGGGGAGAACTTTTTTGCTAGCATTGACAATCTTCTCTTTTAACAATCCAGTGGATCATTGATAGACTGGATGGATGTATTGGTAAAGAGGAATGGCTCTTCTGTTTCCCCAAATGGTCGCCCTGTCAAATGCTGAATTGTACAACTGACTGTGTGTTTTTTTAGGTTGGCACGGATCAGGACCAAGTCTTGCTGCACAATATGAGTCATAAGGTGGGGAGTTGGTGAGAGAAGTGTAGAATTTTACATCTGCCATGAAATAGCTGCTGGACATTCTTTTCTGCGTCTGCTGTCAGTTTTCAGTCCTCCTTACCTCCTCTTCTGGATCCTTCTCTTTTTAATATATTTATGATTAACTGTACTGTACTATAAAGTGACCCCTAAGAGAAACTATAGTGTGTCTTCAGGTGTGCACATTTTGTGTTATTAGATTGGAATCCCACTCAATACTTTTTTTGATTAAGTGAGGAAGGGTTAAAATGTCATTTTTTTTTGTTGTCTATGCAACAATAAATAACCATGTTGCTATATCATAGCATACCCCTAAAAGTAGAATATATATACACTATATTGCCAAAAGTATTGGGACACCCCATCAAATCATGTGATTCAGGTGTTCCAATCACCTCCATGGCCTCAAGTGTATAAAATCAAGCACCTAGGCATGCAGACTGCTTCTACAAACATCTGTGAAAGAATGGGTCGCTCTCAGGAGTTCAGTGACTCCAAGCGTGGTCCCGTGATAGGTTGCCACCTGTGCAATAAGTCCATCCATGACATTTCCTGGCTACTAAATATTCCACAGTCAACTGTTAGTGGTATTATAGCAAAGTGGAAGAAACTGGGAACAACAGCAACTCAGCCACCAAGTGGTAGGCCATGTAACATGACAGAGCGGGGTCAGCACATGCTGAAGCGCACAGTGCACAAAAGTCGACAACTGTCTGCAGAGTCAATAGCTAAAGACCTCCAAACTTGGTGTGGCCTTCAGATTAGCACAACCACAGTGCGTAGAGAGCTTCATGGAATGGGTTTCCATGGCCGAGCAGCTGCATCCAAGGCTTACATCACCAAGTGCAATGCAAAGCAGTGGTGTAAAGGACGCTGCTAATGGACTCTAGAGCAGTGGAGATGTGTTCCCTGGAGTGTCCAATCACGCTTCTCGGTCTGGCAATTCGATGGACATGTCTGGCTTTAGCTGTTGACAAGAAAACTGCACTTGCCTGACTGCATTGTGCCAAATGTAACGTTTGGTGAAGGGGGATTATGGTGTGGGGTTGTTTTTCAGGGGTTGGGCTTGGCCCCTTAGCTCCAGTGAAGGGAACTCCTAAGGCATCAGCATACCAAGACATTTTGGACAATTTCATGCTCCCAACTTTGTGGGAAGAGTTTGAGGATGGCCCCTTCCTGCTCCAACATGATTGCGCACCAGTGCACAAAGCAAGGTCCATAAAGACATGGATGAGTTTGGGGTGGAGGAACTTGACTGGCCTGCACAGAGTCCTGACCTCAACTCCATAGAACACCTTTGGGATGAATTAGAGCGGAGACGGTGCCTGACCTTACAAATGTGCTTCTTGAAGAATGGTCAAACCTTCCCATAGACACCCTCCTAAACCTTGTGGACAGCCTTCCCAGAAGAGTTGAAGCTGTTATAGCTGCATAGGGCGGGCCAAATCAATATTGAACCCTACAGACTAAGACTGGGATGCCATTGAAGTTTATGTGCGTGGAAAG